TTTTTATGTGTGTTTGTGTGTGCATGCATGTGGGTACATGCAGGTATTCATGTGTATGCAGGTACATGTGCACATGTGTGAACATACATGTGAAGGCCATAGTACAACCTAGGGTGTTATTTCCCAGGAGTTTCCACCTTGTTTTTAAGATGAGAGTCTCTCACTAGGGCTTAGGGTTCACTGATTCAGCTAAGCTGAGAGCCAGTGAGACCCCTGGCTTCTATTTGTCTCCACCTCTGCAGCACTAGGATTATAAGCACACATCACCAAAAGCATTCAACTTCGTAAAGAGTGCACATGAACCAAGGCCCCAAAATATGAAGTAATGAAGTATGGGGTGGACCTAGAACTCTCCCTAAATTCATGAACTTGGAGAATTAAGCCTCTCTTGTAAAAGGTCTAGGCTGTACATGACAGGTTCCTGGCCAGCATAGGCCAAAAAGGCCCTGCCCTCATTTAGTCCCTTTCATTCCAGGAACTCAGTTTTTTCCACATGTAGCAAGCACACATTTAGCTTCCAGTTTCTCCTCAATTCAAGATAGATTCCCATGGAAACCAGCCTTAGGAGAGGCAGAGATATTCACTTTTCTTTCTGGCCCCAGACACATGCAGATGAGCCGGGTCTCCCATCTCTGCAATTTCAGTGCAGAAAAGCCCTGGAGAAACGGAGCTCCATTGTCCTGCCTTGTTGGCTTTGTGTGTGTGTGTGTGTGTGTGTGTGTGTGTGTGTGTGTGTGTGTGTGGTACTGGGAACAGAACCCTAGGCTTCCTGTGTGCTAAGCATGTATTCTACCACTGAGCCACATCCCCCCCATCAGCTCATTCTCAGTGAATTTCTCTAGAAGTCTTCTCATGCTGTTCACCACTTTGGGGATTCTAGTCAATATAAGAGCGAGTTCTAGGGACTAGAAAGATGGCTCAGTGTTTAAAACTCCATACTACTGTTGCTGAGGATCTGAGTTTGGTCCCCAGCACCCATATTGGGCACTTCATGACTGCTTGTAACTCTAGCTCCAGGGGTCTGATGCCTCTTCTGGCTTCTGAAGGCACTGCATGCACATGTACAAATCCACCCATACACATAATTTAAAAATAAAAATAAATCTTAAAAATATATTAGGGCCAAGCATGATGGCACACACCTTTAATCTAAGTCTTGGGAGACAGAGGCAGTTGGAGCTCTGTGAGTTTAAGGTCAGCCTGATCTACAGAGCAATATTCTTAGATAGGGGTCACCCTGAGCTAGATACAAGGTACCTAAACTCCAAACCTTAAGGGTTTTGTTATTTGTTTTGCTTTTATTTTTTAAGAGGATCTAATATTATGCCATGGGGATTGTTATGGAGATTCAGTAATGAAAACTATTTGGTACAGAGCCTGGCAGCTAATAGGTACTTAATAAATATTAATCACTTCTATGATTAACTAGCAACTGGACAAGTCCCTTAACCTTACTAGGCCTATGTTTTCTCCTGCACAATGCAGAGTGAGGGGAGGAGGGAAAACCACTGTTCCTTGAACATCCCTGTCAGCTCTGGCACTGGACGGCTCCATACCCACGTTGCTGGTAAAAGGGTAGGAGAGAGTGGCACTGTAGAGCTCTAATGTCCTTTTTGCAGATTCCTACATCAATAGCTCCAGTAGGCAAGCTCAGTGGGAGCAAGGTTCTGGATTCTATCCAGGGAAGGGAGGTTGGTGTTCAGCATCCCTGGTTTATACCCCACCCCCACCATGGCTCAGCTTCCACATCTGTTAATTGACACTACTTTTGAGGGTTCTTGGGGGTACTCTATGGGTTTACTCCTGTTGGATGTTTGGCATAGTGACTGCTGGCTGATAGTGTCATGGAATCAAGGCTGCGCAGATTTACCTTGCAAACTTGAAGAGCCACTTAGAAGCCAGACAGTGGTGAGGTCATCAGTCTTCATTTTCAGGGAGCCAAGGCACCAGCATTTCCCATCAGAACCAAGTCCCCCAAGGGTGACTCCCAGCCCAGGGCTATGGGATGCAGGAGGGAGATGGGAAGACTTTCTTACCAGGCCAAGGTTCAGAGCGTTGTTATCATCTTCGGGCATGGGCAGGTACACTGCCAGGGCCACACAGTTGGCAAAGATGGTGAGCAAGATGATGGTCTCAAAAGGTCTGGTGCCAAGGTTAAGGCAAGCCCTTGAGTGAGCTGTGGGATTTGTAGGGTTGAGGGGAAAAGGCCAGTCTAGACTGTCACTAAAATGTTAAGAGATAGGCAGGCTCCTGAGAACACTCCCATATATGTATATCCCTTTCTCCACTTCTCTGAAGGTTCTGACCCAGGGACCTGGTCCTTTCTCTTCCAGAAGAGGATTACAAGGGACTGGCTAGCTGAGGAATCTCATTACTACTCCACACTAAGTGCTGTTCTCCCCCTTCCCTCCTTCTGAGATTTGGGCCACACAACCTCTGGGAGCTCCCCTCAAGAAATGGCCAGGAGCCTGGGGGCTGATACAAGTTCAACTGAACAAAGACGGAGAGAGAGCTGAATTTTCAGACCTGTGGGCAGTGCACAGGCTTGCACTCACACATCCCCTTCAGACACATACCTAACCCTCAGCAGCCATTTACACAGTATGCGCTGGACTCTGCCCTTCCTTTCTGTCATTTAGGAAGCAGGTGTGAGGAAGGGAAAGAGAGACAGGGTCCTTGGTGTATAGTTTGGGGGAGGGGAGCAGGAGATATGCGATACAGATGGGTTTGAAAAGTGTGGGGGTGGTACTGGAGAGAAATGGTTCAGTAGTTAAGAGCACTGGCTGTTCTTGCAGAAGACCCAGGTTCAAATCCCAGCACCCACATGGCAGCTAACAACTATCTGTAACTCCAGTTCCAAGGGATCCAATGCCCTCTTCTGCCCTCCTCGGGCATTGCAAAACACGGGTGCACTTATACACATGCAGGCAATACACTCATACACATAAAAAATAAAAATAAAAAATTTTGGAAAAAAGAAAAGAGGGGGTTGGGCACAGGGAAGATCTGTGGAAGGAGTGGGCTCAGAGGACCAGAGGATGGAGAAAAGTGAGAGCCTGTCAGGGAAAGCTGCTCTCATAGGATACAGGCCAGGAGGGAGGGGCCTGGAGGTGATATGATTTGTTGCAGTGTAGCTATGGGAAGCAGGGCTGATTCCATGTGGCCCCACATCTCCCTTGCCCCCTCCTATTATCCCTCTTTTCCTGTCTTCTAAGGAACAGCTGGTGGAATCCCACTCTTCCAGAGCATGTTAGAAATATTTCAAATATTCTTGACTCCCTGAGAGCTCACTTGACACAGGCCCGTCTCTTCTCCACAGCTCCTCCTTTCCCCCAAATAGCCCAGATATTTTCATCATTCTTCCTTCCAGAACTCATGCAAACCCAGAGATCAATTTGAAGTCCCTGTCCCTAGGGCACTACTTCTGAGCTAAAACAGCCATGTTTACTTGCCTGGAACCACTAAGAGTCAGTCGTCCCTCAAACCTATTTCCCAGGCACCATCTACAGGAGTCTTTCCTGAACAGTCATTGTCTTCCATCTCCCTCTAAGAGGGATTTTCTCAGGCATTATGCTTCTCCCATCATCTTATTCCAAATGAGACTGCTGCTTCAAACTCCTGAGTGGTACCCCATGATGATGGAGCTTGGGCTCACCTGGAACCAGGTCCCATGAGCACAGGCCCTTTCCAAGATGATCAATAGTTATTTCTGGCTGTCACCCTCAGGTCACAGGGAGTTCCCCTCTCCAGTGTGGTGAAGAACTTCCTTCCTACCTTCCCAAAGTCTCCTCATACTGGTCTGTAGAAGTTCACCCTGTTCCAAGTTCCCAGTCACTCTGACACTAAAAGTCTGTGACCACCATACACTCCTCCCTCACTACCCCCCCCCAATCCACTCCTTCTTGCCCAAGTGCTAAAGGATACTTCCATTCCACAATGCTGATGCAGGCCTTCCTCAGGGGGTTCTGGAGGGTCAGGCAGAACAAGGCCCGGGGTGGCCTAGGCAGAATCTCAGGAACAGGTTTCTTGGGCTGCTTCTTCCTCAGGCCCTCATCCTGAGGCGAGGACAGCTCCATGGCTTCCAGGACACCCTGGCTTTCTCTTATTCCCCTACCCCACTGCCCTCTCCTCCCTGTGTCCCCAACGCCCCCACCTTGGGGACTGGGCCTGGCTGAGTCTGTCCTGCTGAGGCAGTCAGACAGGGCAGGAGTGGGGGTGGGAGGATTACACTCTCTGTTCTCAGCGAATAAAATTAGCCCCTGATGCCCTGCCCAAGCTCCTGAGGCCAGGCAGCTGTCATTCCTTCCAGCCTAGCCAGTAACATCCCAATCTGCCCCCAAAGAGTACAAGGGCTGTGGATAGGCTGTGGATAACTAACACCAGGCCTGAGGTGGAACAGGGGCAATAGGAGACAGGATGGTTTCAAAGCTGGGGCAATGGAGTTTAGGGAGAAGAGCCTGTGGTATGGAGTCACAAACTTCAGATTGGTCCATCATGCTGAGATTAAGTTTCCCCTATTTCAAGATTAGGTTCCCCTCACCTCAGCCCTATGGCACTGTACAGAGGTGCTGGGTGGTCTGGCTCAGTGTATCTCCAAACTCCAGTTTCAGTACCTGTTCTGATCAGAACAGGTGGCCTTATATAGACCATGCCTGTTTCCCTTCACACTGAGCCCCTCCCCACTGGGGTAAAAAGCTCCCAAACAACCTTGAATGTACATGGCTCTGATATGGCACCCACCACTCTGCTTGTCTTTCTTCCAGACGCTCCCACCCCTTATTATTCAAGGTCTGAGTGCTTCCTCTGTGGAATTTCAGCCTCTCCAGCCCACACTAAGGATACACGAAGCTCTCTGGAAATGTTAGTTGATCATGTGACAAACACCCTATCTATCTATAAATCCTTGCAGTAAGCATTCTGATCTGGAGAACTGAAGAAGGGGTGAAAGGTGGAGGGTGGGGATAGGCAATTTAGGAATCACAAAATTCAATAATCCTTTTATTTAGCCCTTGGTGCAAACAGTGCCAATGATCCTAGAGGTTTACAGGTCTTGGGGAAAAATCCACAATCCTTAACCTGGGGAAGGACCAGAAAACCATACTGAGGGGTGGAAGAAGGGAGGTGATCACTCGTCAAGGAAACCAAAAACCGTCACCAGTGGGCATATACCGCCTCCTTCTAAGTCTGTCAGCCTCCCATCCTTTCCTCTGGGTTCCTCCCTCTAGGCGCAAGCTCCCTGTTGGTATCTGGGGCCATCTCGTGGAGGGCCCAGGCATGGCACATGAAAACCAGTGCAGGGGGACTTTCTGCGGGGATGAACAGCGCCTGCCTGAGGCCTAGCTGGAGCCAAGTCCAGGGATGGAGGTCTTGGGCTGCAAGGGGTACCGCACGCTCCAGGAGTAGTCCAGGGCTCCTGCCCTTTACTGTCCTGACCCATCTACCTTGATCCCGACCCTGATCCTGGGATCTCTATATTGCCTTTCGTACCCAAGTTCCGCACATCCGCCCCAAGTGGGTTGGAGGTGGGATCACCGCAGACCTCTAGTAACTATGGCCTGCCCTGCACGCCGGTGACCCAGCAGCCCCTACACTGCTCCCGAGAGGGACGGGGCTACCGGCCCGGATCACTGGCTGGATTCCTCCGACTCCAAGAAAGGCGAGGAGAAGCAGGAAGCCGCCCTGGACTGCGGCACCAGGGTGGTGGGCGGCGGCGCGTCGTGAGGGCCGTGCTGCTGGCCGGAGGGCGGCGGGGAGGTGGCGGCGGGCGGGGCGGCGTCGGGGGCGGCGCTCAGCAGCTCCTGCAGGTACTTGATGTAGCGGATGGCGGCACGCAGCGTCTCCACTTTGCTGAGCCGCTTCTCCGCCAGGGCGCCGGGGAGGTGGCCGCGGAGGCGCGCATAGCCCTCGTTCACGCACTTGACGCGCTGCCGCTCGCGCTCGTTGCGCTTCTGGATGAAGGCGGGCTCGAAGGGATAGTCGTAGACGCCGAAGGCTCCAGGGAAGGGCACGTAGGGGAACACCCCCGCGTAGGTATCGTAGTACGGCGGCTCTGCGTGGCCCGGGTACAGCAGGAAGGGCACGTTGCCCAGGGGCTCCGTGACTGGCAGCGGTGCCTGCCCGGCAGGGGCCATAACGCCCACTTGCATGCTGCTGGAGGGCCCTACAGGACCCGGGTCCACCAGTGCCCGGCAGAAGTTATTGTTCATTGTGTTCGGTGGAGCCGGACCCAGAGTGAGACCCTCACCGAATGGCCCCTGCTCTGGGTCTGTATGGTCCTGACCGCAGGGACGAGTCACATCCCTAGCAGTGGATCTTAGGCACCAAGACTTGCTAAGGCCTCATTTTGCCTTTTGGAATGACTTCTGAGGATTCCCTAGTGTGAGCCATTGCTCTGGGCAAGTGTGGGTCCTTGCAGAGTCTCAGCGAGTTACCCTCTTCGATCTTGCTTGTGGTGCCATGCCCTGATTGATCTCGGAGAACTGTCGCTGTTCTCCACGGTCCCGTTAGCTGCGTGTCCTGCCTCCCCCTGTTTGCAGCCCAACACGGGCATCTGCCCCATAGCACTAGCCCCGAGCCTCCATGCCAGGGGTCCCCCAGTGCCTAGATCTTGTTCCTTAGAATCTCCCAGCGGAGAAAGTAGGGGACATCGAACCGACCACTGCTGTTCAGAGGGCGCCAGCTCAGCAGAGGAGGACCCAGGGGAACGTTTCTAAAAGAAGAGGAGCATGCGAATATTAATGAAGAAAGGCCTATGTTATGGCTTCTTTGAGGCACTCCTATCTTCAGAAGGGAGGAGGGAAAAGGGTGCAACTTTGGAGAGGTATGGGTTAGAGCTCAAATTTTGTGTTCCACCCCATAATAGTAAGGTGACATCCTTGAGTTCTGGTTTCTATGTTTGGAGACACTGAAACATTCTTCACAGGAGGGTACTGAGATAGGGAATCAAAGGATAATAACATCTCCTAGGCCAGGCATGGCTGCCCACGCCTTTGATCTCAGCACTGGGAGGCCGAGGCAGGCGGATCTCTGATATTGAAGCCAGTCTGTTCTACACAGAGTTCCAGTCCAGCTGGGCCTCAGGGGGAACCTGTCTCAAAAACAAACAAACAACATAAAAAATATTCTAAAACACTCCCTACCTGCCTGGCTGATAACAAGGGCCAACGATGACATTTTCTTTGAGAGCTGGAATGGAGTCTCAACACTAATTATCTTCCAGGGCCATCCATCTAAAAAGGAATGAAAAAAGCCCATTGAATTAGCAGGAGGAATCTCAGCAGCAGTCTTAATTAATCCAGGTGTGACCCTTTGGTGAAAGAAATACATCTCCCATTACAAAAAACTCAGGTGCTGTTGGGGCTTTCCGAAGCTGTCTGCCTAGCTGTCAAGAGACAGTCACCCACACTTTCCCTGTCCCCGTCCACATGAGTCCAGGATGACATTACTCCCTCTTGGTTTTCTCCTTCATGGCACTTAACAGGGGTGTCTTTTCTCTTTTTTTCTGTCATCTGCCCAAGCTGAGCCCAGCCCCTGGCATGTAATAGATGTTCCACAAGCTCTGGTTAAAGAGAGGATTAGGCCAAAAACTGGGCTTGTTAGGGTGGGGCTTAATTACATGTAGCCTTTCCCAGGTTTTAGAAAGCTGTTATTTCAGAAATAATTGGTCTGTGTTAAGTTTAAGTGCCACCAATCACCTGTGGTTATCAGATCCAATCTATGTGTCCTTTCTTCTAGGAAGCAAGCCTCCTCTGATTCTGTTCCCTGCCCTGGTGTATGTCCACAGTGTTTAAATGCCTTGCAGTGCTTGTCTCTCTATTCTTCTCCTCTTCATGAAAGATGCTCTAGGCTTACTGAATGAGTGAGTGGTCTGTACTGAGAGCAATGGGGTGCAATTGCCCAAGCCATCATAAGGCCTTAGGCAATGGTCAATTCTCTATAAGGCAGAAAGGAACCAACTCTCTCCTTGACTGGGAAGTGCATGGCAAACTCAGGTTCCTGAGTCTCTTCTGTACCCTCCCACCTTTGCCTTTCTTTTCAGGCCCTGAGTCTGTCCCCAGTTAGCCTTCACCTCCTCCATGTTGAACGAGAACAACAAATCGACATGGATCCAAGTTTCACTTGTTTTCAAGGGGAAGCTAATGTATGTGGCATTGAGACCAATTCATATAGCTGCCTCCTCCTCCTCTCCTCCTCCTCTTCCTCCTCAGCCTTCTAGAGCTCTCCCACTGATTTTAGAACATTCTAGAAAGCCTTTTCTCCTGAATAGGCCCCCAGCTCCATCAGGGTAATCTCTTCCTGATATCCTTTGCTCATTCCTGATTCACACAGTGGCTGACACCAACCACAATCTTAGGGGTCCCATATACCTTTCTGCAGCCTGCTGTCCAGGAGAGAGTGCTTAAATACATTTCCTGCCCACACTGCCTGAGCTTTCCAGCTCCCAGCCTGGGCTTTCAAAGTAGACATCTGAGACTTCTCCTAGGATGTGTGCTTCCATGGGCAGAGATAGGCTTTTTCTTTTGAGGGTAACCCTTCAGGCCCTTCACTCAATGCTAGGCACATGAAAGGTATTCAAGATATCTGCCAGCATTATTCTTTTTCTGTAACAATTTGGGATCCAGGCCTGATTGCTTATATTTGATTTGATAATGGTCAGAAGTTTATTTATATTAATGACAATTTAAAAAATATAACTTAATTTCTGCTCATGTTGATTGAATATTCATAATTTATTTTAAAAAGTCTATGCACTAACATTTTTTTTCATAAAACTATTCAGAAAAGTGACCCAAACAAGGAGTCCCATAGAGGGTCCGTATATTTCTAAGTCAGTTTTATGTACAATGTTAGAAAAAGACAGCCTGTGAGAGAGCACAGGGGAGGAGACACCTGCAATGGAGTGTGTCTTCTCATAGCAATTTCTTACTCCATCCTAGAAGCTGAGACTCAGTGTTGCCTGTTACCATTAAGTGGCACAATAGTCAATGAAGGTTTACTAAGGGCCTTTGGCATGCAAGGCCTGCTCCAGTCAGCAGATCTGTAGTGAATTGATGATAATTATAGCTGCTATTAGTTACGATGTGCAAGACACTGTGCTGAGTGCTATTCTTGAATGTTCTAGAATTCTCACACCATTCTTGTGAGGTAGCTAATATTCAGTTTTTCAGGTGAGAAAAAAGAGGTACACAGAAGCTAAGTCACATGCCCAAGGCCCCACAGTTAGGAATCATGATCTAATAAATACTAATCAACCATTCTCAGCTTCCTGCTCTTCCCTGGTATTTCTCCTAGTGACTTCACAGCTGATCAAAGGATCAGAAAGGCTCACACTGACCTAACAAAAAGCTTGATTCTCAAGACAAGACATAACCCAATTAAAAGATGGGCTAAGGAGCTGAACAGAGAGTTCTCAAAAGAAGAAGTAAAGATGGCTATGAAGCATCTTAAAAGATGTTCAACATCACTAATAATTAGGGAAATGCAAATTAAAACCACTTTAAGATTTCAT